CCCCCCCCCACACACACACGCACACCAGTCCCGGCTCTTCCTTCTGTACAAATATATTTGATGAAGCGCACACACAAACAGGTCTTACATGTGTTTGCAGATGTCCTTGACCCCGTTCCTCTGGCCCAGTCTCTCTGAGGGGTTGAGCCTGTAAATGGGTGACAGATGATAGCAGACATACAAACCTCACAGCGTAGCTCTGCTGCTCACACTATCTATCTATCTATCTATCTATCTGTCTGTCTGTCTGTCTGAGTGTGTGTGTGTGTGTGTGTGTGTGTGTGTCTATTTAACTCTCTAGAAAAGGAGTGACAGACGTTTCACTTGCTTTTCTCACCATGTTTTTTCATATAGGAAATCTATCTATCTATCTCTGTCTGTCTCTGTCTGTCTGTCTGAGTGTGTGTGTGTGTGTGTGTTTGTGTGTGTCTATTTAACTCTCTAGAAAAGGAGTGACAGACGTTTCACTTGCTTTTCTCACCATGTTTTTTTTCTCATATAGGAAACAGACACTGTGAGGAAAAACTCTATTTGTACCTGCAGAGGCTCTTGATGAGATGTGCTGCAGTCCTGCTGATGGTTTTTGGGAACTCTAGCTCATCTATTCCCTTCAGAGATGCTGTATAAACCTTCAGCTGCTCCGAGCCAGAGAACAGGGGACTGGAAATTAAATTGAACATTTAAATAAATAAATAAAAACCACTGTTATAGTAATGCACAAGCAATAAAGGCCTAGCAGGCAAGATGAAGGTTTTAAAAATCTGAAGTTCATAGAGTTGTTACAGTTTTTCTCAACTGCTTCGACTCAATTTTGGCTTTATTTTTTTCTCTCTCTCAAAACAATAAGTTCAGATGTCTGAACACTTAGCTTCTTGTTCACATCAGATTTGAATTTCTTATTGATTTAGGCAAATTGTAAATTGTGTTGTGGCACATATGTGCAAATTAGTAAGTACAACTGTCTACAATTTGCACAATAACTAAATGCACATGGCTTGTTGATCAAAGCTGGTAAGTGGTAACAACATATGGCAAAAAGAAGCTCAGCTGTGCTTGCTTGTCATGCAAGAACAAAGTGCATTGGTTTGCCCCATTTTTAATGTGCTATATAATCAATGTTTATATGTGATTACAAACCTAAATTAAATCTGACAGAATTATGACAGAATTTCTTTATTGGTTATACTTTTTAAACATTTATTTGTAGTGCAACCCACCTGCTAAGCTTCCATTCTAAATATATTAACTGGTCACTGATGAAGGGGAAACCCAAAAATGTCACCTTTTTGCTCTGAGCACTGAATTTTGTTGGATTTTTGTCCTCGGAAAATAGTGTGCAAGCTCTTTTTTGTTCCTTTTATTTGAAACAAGCCAGAATATTACTTGATGCATATATGCCTACTGTAATACACTGTACGAGTCTATCGGCAGTACTGCCTTTGCAAAATCACAAAAGAATTGCTACAAGATGTAGAAAAAAACCCTCACCTGCCATTGAGCAATTCATACAGCAACATCCCTAGAGCCCAGAGATCTGCGGACAGACCGTGACCTTGATGCAGAATGACCTCTGGAGGCTGATAACCCACAGATCCACAGAACGACCAGGCTCTGTGCAAAGAGCCCAGCTTCTTAGCACAACCAAACCCTGTCTGTTAGATAGAGAGAGATAGAGAGAAACACAGCTGAAGTGTTAGAATAGTTAAAATTACCCAAAATGAATCATCACAAACAAGTGGTTACAGGCTGCCATCTGGTTTAACTTTAAACATGGTTGAATTTGTATCTATTCTGCACCAGTTTAGCATATCCTCGCTGGTCCAGGAGCACGTTTTCAGGTTTCAGGTCTCTGTGAACAATGTCTTTGGCGTGTAGTGCACTAAGAGCTTCCAGCACACACGCTGCATAGAAGCGAACGGCATCTTCTTCCAGTGACCCCCTGAAACAGCAAACCACATATTAGTCAGCCATTGTCAGTTTAGTTCAGTTCATAAGATGTGTTCACTGTAGCATCGAGTCTTTACGGGTTTTATTTTTGTACATTTTTAGCTAAATACTATCAGCTTCTATTGATTAGGTTATAAAAATTCCTTAAAATGTCAGAGTTACTCAGCACACAGTAAAATTGACAGTGTTAATTAAGCAGTGTTACACTCCATTTACTCTTAAGGAGTTAACTTAACAACAAATAGTGAAAAATGCCCCCTAGTGTTGGTGAAAATGATCGGAGTTGAATTCTGCATTGTTAAATTTACTCCGTTAAGCTCCGCCCCTCAAGCCATCCCCGAAGACCAGAGCAAAAGTTCTCTCTTCGCCATTTTCTTTTGCCTTGCGCCAAAAGGTAAGCTCTTTTAATATGTCTTTAACACCTTTCTGGGCCTTGAAAGTTTTAGTTGTATAGGCTGTCAATGAAAGGATAAAAGTCTTGTCAGATTTCATTAAATCATTCATCCATAGTCTTATAGCAATGGAATGACATAAGAGGGAGTAATTAACGATAATTCTATTTTTTGGTGAACAAACTTCTTAAGGCACACTTTGTTTTTGGCACCACTTATAACACTATTCTACACAAGATGTACATTTTCATTCAGACCACTGTGTACAACAAAGATGTTGGCAAAGTGAAGGTCCTTGTATCGCTGAGGTTAAGAGCAAGGCTGCTTAGCTAGTAGGTTCAACAGGTTCTGTACTGAATATAATGATGTATTGTCATTTCATGCAGACGTGATGTATTTTTGTGCATGTATGTGTATGTTTCTTGAGCCTGACAACATTTTTTAATAAATGTTTTAAATGTGACGTCGTTGATCTTGTTTTCTATTCTGTTTTTAAAACACCAATTGGGTTTTAAAATTAGATAATTTTTCACTATTATAAATGTAAATGAACTCTACATAAGTGAAATATTAACACTAATCAGAGTAAATTTTCCTGCAGAGTTAAATTGTGGTAACACAGAACAGAGTTAATTTCCCCTAGTGTTAAACTCTGGTAACACTATTCAGTGTTGAGCAGTTAATTTTTTACTCAAAATAGAGTTAATTTCTGACTGAAAATGTAACACTATGACAAGAGTCAATTTATCACCAATTCTGAGTGGGACCAAATACACTCGGGCCGAGTGTTAAATTCAACTCTTATAGAGTTAATTTAACACTGCAAAATTTACTGTGCACGAACGTCCTTCCTTAGAGTTAAGTGATTTACAAATCACTAAACCGAATCAGTTGAGAATAATTGTGTGCATATATCACTGTGTGTACGCTGAGATACTGAGACTGTATGTACCTCTCTCTCAGTAAATTCCACAGATCTCCACCTTCACAAGCCTCCATCAGCATATACAGGCACCGATCATCTTTATAGGTACAATGCAACCTGACCAGACATATAAAACTTTGAATGTTACAGCAAAACACAACATTGCTATTGAAACATTAAAAAATGACATTTCATTGGCAATTAATTGACAGGCTGATATGAACGGGCAATATCTGTATTTTGGGAATTACATGCTGTTATTTATTTTTGATTTGAAGTTTTATTTTTTTTACTTTCAATCACTACACATACATTTGTTTCACAACTGTCGTTTGTTATCAGTTTTATGCCAACCTATGTCCTTCAACAAATGTCATAAAAATGTTGAATATTATATTTATCAAAAAATCCTGAAAAAAAAAATCCTCATAGCTTCCTCCTCATTACACCGAAGACGAGTAATGATGCTGAAAATTCAGCCTTGATCACAGAAATAAATGTAAAATATATTTACATAGAAAACAGCTATTTTAAATTCATCATATTTAACATTTTTGTATTTTTGGAAAAAAAAAAATCATAATAGTGCAGCCTTGGCAAGCAAAATAGAGACTTTTGAAAAACACTAACCCCAAACCTTTGAGCTTGCACAGTAGTGTACCTATGGTTAAAGGAGTCTAATAAGGAATGCAACTACTTAAAAAGGTTTCAATTAAATGCAAAAAGGGTTTTATTGCCTGATGTCACTGGTTTCACACATCATTCCATAAAGAACCTAGTTCTTCAGAAACCATTTACTCTATGTGCTGGTGTTTTAGAACTCAGAAACACACTGATAATGTAACTGTAATGAAACATTAAGAACTTTCTCCAAAGACAGAAAAAAAAACTGCAGCCCTGCACCTGCGAGCAAACCAGCTCGGGACCAACTAAGGACCAGCTTAAACCAACTCAAACCAGCTGCCATACTTCCCTTTTTCAAAAGGAAATCAAGGTCTTCAGACTTCACGAGAAACTTGAGAAGAGAATTGGACACCCCTGCCCTGGTGTATGTTCTGACCTTACTATAAACAGACTTTGGAGATCCATCAGGATGTGTTTCTCTGCGAGTATCCTCTCTCTTTGGCCTGGGCTCTGTATCGCCTGTTTTCTAATGGTCTTCAATGCAAACTTACAGTTGGAGTCACTCTTCAAACGGACCTAATGACAAAAAACTTTGGCTGAATTATAATTACTACATGGAACTTTTATTTTTTTCATCAAAACAAGCATAAACTGCAGGGCTAATTAATAATACACATTGTACAGAACTCACGAGCTGAGTGTGACCGCACTGTCCTTCTCCAAGATTACACAGCATCTGAAAACTGCTGAGAGACGTTTCACCAAACGCAGACCCATCTTCATCTGCCCTGTTTGTTATATAGAGATGCCCTTCATTAACATCACACTGGTGATGCTTCATTTATTTCAGTGAATAATGTCAAATACACAGACTTTTAAGTCTTACTCCGATCTGGCCTTGTTGCTCGGATTTTTTCTGGCATCGTCCAAGCCTCCAGTTACTTTTTTGAAAACCCTGGATATAGACGGTGGAATATAGCCAAGGTCAGCTTTACAGCGTAAGTTTGAATTAGTTATGTTTTTTTGCCCACTTTGCTGTTTCCATAGCATGTAAGTCGGTTTATCCCTCACGGTGCACACTTACTCTCTGTCTATGACCAGACATGTCACATCGCCTGCGGCAAGAGCGCTCATCGACCTCACGTCGTCTCTGGAGAGCAAAGGCACAGGTCTGAGATGTTAATGTTATACATGATACCTTCTGACTTGAATTTCAATGGTCCTCAGTGAAGCCACAAAGCATTCAACATGCACATGTTTGCAGTTCTCTTGCTTCAGGGCAAGTTAGAAAAATGGTGCACGACCTACAGTACATTACATAAGTCATCTAAAATTATATATGCTCCTCTTTTGTTAATGTGCATGGTTGTTGTGAGTTTCTCTGGTCCTACATAAATATCACCGGTCGTATTTCTTGTGTTGGATAGGTAATAAGCCGCGAGGTAAATCTCGGAGAGTGGCGCCCCCTGCTGGTGAGGGTTGAATCTTACCCTCTCTCTCCAAAACAATCCCCTCTGGTGAGGACGGACACCATCATACTCTCCTTTAATACTTCCACCTAAGAACGAAAGCATGCATACTGTTATGCTATTACTGCACTACAATCATCTCTATATCTATCATACAACAAATAATTATGCAGTCAAATTTTTTGACAATTCTTTTCCAACGTAGTTGAGCAAGTTTTGTCTCTTATTTCATAATAAAATTAAATAAAAATTATATACAGTCAAACCAAAAATTATTCAGACACTAGATATAATTTTTGATATTTTTTTTTACTAGTAAGTGCAGGACACTATAGTTCATTTATGTAAGTGAGGATAGCAAAATAAAGTAAACTGGGACATATTATACCCAAAAATTCTTCATACAGTGGACTACCAGTAAAATTTGGGACGAAAAATTATTTAGACACTTTGACCTGATCATGTTTTGCTTAAGTGTTTTTCTTTAATTGCTAATGTGACCTTTTAACACCACAGACTGAACACAATGAAGCATTGCTTGGTAATTGGTTGGTTGACCTAAAGTGGTATTATCTAATTGTGTTCTTAAATTTAACAGCTGACAGCTCTTCAACCGAATTCATTCAAGTTATCGGACATTATCAAGATGAATTTGTTCTGACACAGACTAGTTGTCATATGTCTACTTTATGAACAGTTACAGTTTTTCTAAGTCGCTTTGGTGCATTTCTCAGATCAGAAATGAAATTCTCAAAACTGCTTGTTCAGCCTCCACATCATCTAGTCACTTGTGCACATCATAAAAGCAGTTTCTCATTCTTTTGAACAAGTTGCGATTGCTTTGGTACATTCATGCAATTGATTATGTACATTTGTCTGTGGTTTCCTACATTATCAGTTGCTAATGTCATGTTAATGCTTAAAATGTATTATATAGTTCTCTGTGCAATAGTCTTACCCCTCAAAACATCTAGTCATTAGTTCATCGTATATGTCATTACATACAAAATGGTTCATCTAGTTGTCATAAACTGTCAAGCATATTTTCTACACATTTCTATTAGTCTTTTTGTAAATTTGCCATGAATTGTGCAGGTGCATTTCAATACAGTAACTTTCATCCAAACTGCTGCCATAGTTTACATCAGGTAATACTAACAGAGTGCACTGACAACATGACAACGCATTTTTGACTATCTTGTTTGAGAACAATGACACAAGGACTTTTCATTCTGGCACTGATATGTTCATTGACATATATACTTTTGAGAGATGAACTAAAGATTTTGAGTAAGTTACAGGCTTTTACAGGTAATTCATTGTGTGGTGCTGTTTGTACAAATTGTTTTGAGAAATGCACATACTTCTATGCAAATATTAAGTATGATTTGAGAAATGCACCAAAGTGAATGAGAAAAACTATAAATGTTTTCCCCCATTGTGCAATAAAAATATATGCAATAACCTTATATTTATTTGTTACCACCCATCCTAGTCCCTACATCTTATTCTACTATATTCCTATTCTATTCTATCTATAGCACAACTGTACATACAATTTATTTTATTTTTCTATTTATTTTTCTATTTTTGTTTATTTATATTTACATATGTGTATTTTTATTCTCATCTTATTTTTATTGTCTATGTGTAGTTGTTGTCTCTGTGTACTGGAATCTTGTGACACTAAAACAAATTCCTTGTATGTGGATGAATACTTGGCTATAAAGTTCTTTCTGACTTCTATTTGATTACCATTTTCAGTGATAAAAGCATTAGCAATTAATCGCAACATGAGAATTTGATACCGGCATATCCCTAATAGATAGATAGATAGATAGATAGATAGATAGATGTCTTTCTCACCTGGCCTTGACTCAGAATGTACAGTTTGTCTCCTGGATTTCCATTTTGAATGATATAATCACCATCACTGTAGTGAGACTAAGACGAAGATGTATATGGATGTATATATAGAGAAAAACATTGCATGTACTGAAAATGTAAATTTTTATATCAATATTTTTTAGAGTTGTGATTAACTGGTGCAAACACACTAAAAATGGATTTGATCAAGCTATAGGCAGTGCTTTGACCTTCAAGTTAAAGGTTTATTGATCATATGCTGATCAGGTACAGCAGTGAAATATGATGATGATGTTCAATCATACGCACCTCCTCCAGTGAATCAGACACTTTCACGAGAACATCCTCTGGAAACACACAGAGCAGTGCCACACTAACACACACAGACAAACGAGAGTCAGGAAACCAGACAGCTACAATCACTATCAGCGTAAATCACAGCAAATTACATCTGAGCTGCAGTGCTAAATGAATGTTTTTCAGTAAACTAACAAAGTGGAAATATGTTAAAACACACTTTAGACACATAATTATATATATATAAAAAATACTACTTATAAGATTAACAGAATACACATTTTTTATACCTTTAATTCTTAATTTGTAATGCAAACAAACTTTCATCACAATTACATTTTATTGAATATATGAATCAATAAAACCGAATTCAATCTAGATGTTGCATTTATTAAAATTAACACGTTTTCACTGTCCACATGTTTTAAGCATTTTTGAAAAAGTGCAGAATTTGTTAACTGTTAATTGTTGTTAACTGCACTTTCTGTTCAAACCTGTTGTTCTTTGACATTTTCCGTGAAATACTGGTATGATCCTTCTGACATCTTTTTTCAGGTCATGACATGAACGTTTCTGTACAGAAGGTTCACACTTAATCTATATCCATCAAGCTCAATATTTCAGCTCTGTTATAGAGGAAAATATCATAGTGATCAAATAATGTTCATGGCACAAAGCACAAGAATAATGTATTGATCGTTTTAAGCCATTTTTGACAACCTACTATTATTAAACCCCAAAACAGTTTGAATGTAACAGGGTTGACAAAGACATCTATGGCTGTTTATTTATATTATATGTATAAATTTCAAATCTAATGTGATGGAGTAAAAGAATGTGATGCTTTGGGGTCAAAATTGATGAATTGCATTTTATTGTATTTGAAGGGGTATAACCGCATGTTTAGGATTAAAGGTTTATGAATCAGCCAATGAAAAACCTGTTGATCACTTATCTGAATTATATATATATATATATATATACACTTATTTTATCTTTTTATTTTAGCTAGAGTAGTTGTCAAAGCAACATTTCTCATTTTCATTAAGATTTATTTGATGTACTAAAATAATTAAAACTGAAAAAAAAAAATCACGATATAGACATATTTTTATTAAAACTTTAACTAAATTTAAAATAAACAGAAAATACAAAACCAAAAAAAATCTATAAGAATACCACAATGATTCTTAAATTACAGTGTGGTCGTTCCCTGTGTCTGTGGTGGTTATGGCCCTAACTTAAATTAAAAAAATAAACAGTGCAAATTTTCAATCAATCAATCAATCAATCAATCATATAAATAAATAAATACATTTCAAAAAGCTATTTAAAAAATACCTAAGCTGAAGGCAAGAATATGCATACATAAAAATATATTTCCTCATTTATTTATAATCTGAGAGGGACAGAAGTGTGTCTTGTAAAGGTCTATGTGAGTATGGTAATGGTGGCATTAACCTGCGCAGGATATGCAGAGACTGTGTGATAGCGGCGAGGCCGTTCCTCTGCATGATCCTCTGAAACACCTGACCCTCCATCACCCACAGCCTGCTGCTCACCAGAGCTGCACACAACACACACACACACACACACACAGAGCAGAGTCTGAGAAGAACTGGATTTCCAACAGTCTGTGAACTCACGTCTCTTTGTTTTGGTGAAACACCAAATACGTGATTTTTTCCTGATGTCTGTGAAGAAGAGAGATCAAAGGAGAGAGCGAGGCAGTTCGGCTTTGGTGGATAGACTTATAAAGACAGAAAGAGAAATTGATATGGACGGTGTGAACTGTGTAAGACAAACAAGTTTGAGATCTCTGTGGAAAACAGCAGAATAACATGGATTGAGGATGATCTGTCATTCTGTTCACCAGCAAACATTATCTCTAAACTCTCATTAATATATTTAAGCTAACATGGGATAAATTAAATTTCCAGGGCAATATATGAGTTGCCAGGCAATGAAAATCATTGTTTGTTTCTTATATCACGTCCAAAGGCCCCTGTGACTTTATATAACAGCTTACATAAACAAAGATCTAATCGTATGATGTTTTATAAAAACACTGGTCAGTTGTTTGACCACAAGACCAATAATATTATATAAAAAAGTTAAAAAGAACAGCATTTATTCAAAATAGAAATCTTTTGTGACAATAAACAATTCTGTTCAAAAGTTTTTTTTCAAAAGTATTTTTTATTTTTGTTTTATGTTTTTGTTATATTGTCAGAAAAGATTTCTATTTTGAATAAATGCTGTTCTTTTTAACTTTTGATTCATCAAAGAATCCTGAAAAAAGTACCACAGGTTCCAAAAAAATATTAAGCAGCAAACAGTTTCCAACACTGATAATAAATCAGCATATTAGGATGATTTCTGAAGGATCACGTGACACTGAAGACTGGAGTAATGATGCTGAAAATTCAGCTTTGATCACAGAAATAAATTACATTTTAAAGCGTATTAAAAGAGAAAACCGTAATTGTATGTATAGTTGAAAAAAGTACTTTGTGTTTCAGGATTTCTGCCTCAGGTGACTCTAAAACACACTGAAAAATTCTCCTCCTGAATAGTGACCTGCTTCTACCAAGTTACAATTTTTCTAAAAAATAGGGAAGAGCTGAAAATAGAGTTCACCCCAAACTCATTCTCTATCACTTCCTGAGACTCTCTTGAATTAGTAATGACACCGATTAATTGACTGTGCTGTCGTTGGGAAGAGAAATACTGCAACCTGTCTCCTCTGCTCTCCCCTGCTACCTCTGTCTACCTCTCTTTTATCTCCTGTCCTTTCCTCTGCGGAATAGCCGAGAATTTGAGATTAATCATTACACAGAAAAAAAAATCCAGAACTGGACTGCAATAAACATCATGAAGACAAGATATGACTCAGTCAATGAAATGCAATTTTTTGGTCAATTAAAATTTTAGAAACCATTGCAGAGCGACACACACACATGGATGGATAAATAAATAACTATTTTGATGGTAATTTATGGATTTTCTCATCTTTTAGTGAAGGGTATGCCTCATGTGTTGTAAAACATCTGTCCACTGGGTTTTAATTAGAGGAAAACATTCAGTTTAACAATGTTTAATGGGGAAATATGTTAAACCCAACCCAGTCTTCTCACGTTTTGATTCCTGACATCTTGTTGCAACCATTTTTTTTTTCAATTCAACCTGATTGTTAAACACAAAAACGTTATTTATCCACTTTTCAAGGTTCTCCCATTTTAGAAAAGCATAACAGCATCATTTTGCAATGTGAGAAGCAGAAAAAGCACTCACAACACGTGGGGTCATTTTCACGGATTTCAAAGCAAGCATATTTTATTTTAATACAGTTTCAAGGCCAGATCAAGCCAAAAAGCCAATCAGGTTTGATGAGTGGGTATTATTATTATTATTTAAGTCATGCTTAACTAAATGATTGAAATGTCTGTGATATCTGTAGAGGTGCCTTTAAGGTGTCCACTGGGTTTTAAAGAGATTGTTTCAAACATATTGTTGTTCATTATGCAACGCTCTGAAATATAGTATCATATTATAATAATGTATATATTAATATTGTAATATTGTTGCAGTGCTCATCTTGTTGCTAAACCAATTAACTACAGTATAGGCAGGTTCCACTAACATTTAAAAACCACAAAGTGTCCAAATATCTTCTGTCCTCATTTTGAACAGCATACTGTATGTTGTTTTATAATGAAAAACATTTTTCTCTCTCTTTCATTAAAATGAATGCCGCTTGATGTAATACGCTTCGCAGCTAACAGGGAATATTCTCAGAATATTGTCAAGGTTCTATTAAAGGGGTCATATGATGCTGCTAAAAAGAACATTATTTGGTGTATTTGGTGTAATGAAATGTGTTTATGCGGTTTAAGGTTCAAAAAACACATTATTTTCCACATACTGTACATTATTGTTTCTCCTCTATGCCCCGCCTTTCTGAAACGCGTCGAATTTTACAAAGCTCATCGGTCTGAAAAGCGAGGTGTGCTGTGATTGGCCAGCTATCCAGTCATTGTGATCCGAGCCGTTTTAGGTAGGTGTGGCTGACTCTTAACTTTTATAAAGAATATCTCTTTGGATTTGAGACTTTAGTCTTTGCAACTTTACAGATCTTCTTTATGCACCAAGAGCTTGTAACACTCCAAAGAGAAAGGACAAATTTAAATCGCACCATATGACCCCTTTACATTTACAAACAGACATTCTTCCAGTAGCGTTAATAGAATATTCATTCAAGGTTATCTGGTCTTCAATAATGTTCTCAAAACATTAACACAGAAACATTTTTTATACATCATTCATGAAATGTTTTTTGAAACATTTTAGCCTTTTTGTTAGACGTTCAGCTGACATTTTTTAAATGTTACTACTGGTTTATTAAGAATCAACATTTCCATAATGTTTGCAAAATTAAAACATGTTTATACAATAGATGTTTTGCACATTCAGAGAACATTCTGAAATAACTTTATTTTTTTATTTCATTGGAACATTAGCAAAATGTTCGAACATATGTGACCCTGTCTGGGAATCTAGGCTAAAGTTTTAAAATCTCTAGATAAAAAGCATCAAAATTTTATTTCAACCATTAATTTTAATCCATGACATGGTCTTACTCAGTCAATTAAAGATATCAAGGCTACATTTTCACAGAATGTTCTTTACATTATGAAGGATGACTTTATGTAGAAAACAGTAAATCACAAAAAAAAAAAAAATACTTTAGCTGGGTTTTCAGAGGCAAGGTCACATATATTTGTTAACTGGTTGATTTCGAGCTTTTCTAATGCAATGACATGTTTACTTGTTTAAGTATGACTTTAATGCCACTGTAATATTGCATTTCCATGAATTTAATTAAGGTCACAAAGCACACATTTTAAAATGCAAGTCACAGAATCCGAGATCTACAAGCAATGGAGGAAACTGTGTTTATCTTTTACTTAGACATATAGAGGCGATCAGGTTAGAGAGTAAAGATCAGAAAAGAAACAGAGAGGTGAAAAAGAGGAGCAAAGAGAAAAAAAGAAAGCAATTTCAAGCTGTCACCAAGCACAAGACCTGAACAAAGCTGAAGAAAAGAGTTGGGGAAAGCTTGATCAGAGGCTTGAAATAAAAGGGGTGAGAGGGAAGAAATAGTCTGAAAATTCAGAAAGAGAGGCTGATAGGGATAAAATAAAAGGGAACTGCGAAAGTGGAAAAGGATATCGACTGAAAGATGAAAACGACACACAATCAAGGCAGACATTCTCTGTAGAAGAAAAGAAACATCTGGAAAATGATCTAACTTGATTGGATCCTCCATTCAGTTTCAATCCATCTTTTTTAGCCTATTCGCTTTCTTTCAGACTTTATTCCTTGCTTTTTTCATTCTATGTCTGGCTATGACCCTCTATTAAAATTAATAGGTCAAGCTGATGCCCCTGTGGCTCAGGCTGGACTCAAGAGAGGATGTGGAATAAGCGAGAGAAGAGGTGTTGAGAGAGTCATAAATCAAAGCATGCTATAGGGGATACACCTCAGATATGAACGTTAATTCATCTATCTGACAAAGATATATTCTTTAGGGTTGGAGGAAGACATATGAAAAAGACATCCTTTACAGAATATAAAGACATTTCTTTACAGAAAACATGCAACTAACATGTTTAGCATGTTCATTTAAAAAAAATCTCACATAACTTACACCTTGCATTTTGATTTTTTTCATAATTGCGACTTATTTCTCACAATTGTGACAATATATCTTGCAATATGACGTCATATCTTACTATGTGATTCCCACAATTGCGACTGTTTCACAGTGCAACTATGTATTTTCCAATTGCGACTTTTTTTCTAGTAATTGTGACTTTATATCTCACAACTGATTTTGTCTCGCAGTGACATTATTTGTAGTAATTGTGACTAAAACTCACAATGTAATTTTTGCATTGTAACTGTATATTTCGCAACTGCAACTTTATATCTCACAATTACAACTTTGTGTTTCACACTGTAACTACATGTAACTATAACTAACTATAATTATAACACTGTAACTACAATTGCAACTTTATTTGTAGTAATAATTGTGACTTTGTATCTCGCAATGTCATTTATATCTTACAATTTCAGCATTGTTTCACATGCACTGTAACTGTATATGTGTTTCGCATTGTAACTTTATATTTCACAATTGCGACTTTATTTGTAGTAACTGTAACTTTATATCCCGTAATGTCACTTTATATGTCACAATTTTGGCAGTGTGTTTTGCTATCTAACTGTATATTTCATAATTGCAACTTTATATCTCGCAATTACGACTTGTGGTTTACAATTGTAACTTTATATTTCACAATTGCGACTTTATTTGTAGTAACAGTAACTTTATATGCCGTAATGTCACTTTATATGTAACAATTTTGGCATTGTGTTTTGCAATCTAACTGTATATTTCATAATTGCAACTTTATATCTCGCAATTACGACTTGTGGTTTACAATCGCAACTTTATATTTCACAATTGCGACTTTATTTGTAGTAACTGTAACTTTATATCCCGTAATGTCACTTTATATGTCACAATTTTGGCAGTGTGTTTTGCTATCTAACTGTATATTTCATAATTGCAACTTTATATCTCGCAATTACGACTTGTGGTTTACAATTGCAACTTTATATTTCACAATTGTTACTTTATTTGTATTAATTTAGATTTTATGTCTCGCAGTGTCATTTTATATCTCACATTTGCGACTTTGTGTTTTGCAATGTACTGTAACTGTATATGTCACAATTCTGACTTTATTTGCTTACTTTTATTTTATTTTACATTTCCCAATTGCAACTTTATATCTCACGATTACGACTTTGTGTTTCACATTGTAAATTAATTTGTACAAATAATTGTTACTTTATATCTCACAATTTCCCTTTACATTTTACAATTGCGTCTTTGTGTTTTGCAATGTACTCTAACTGTATATTTCACAATTGCGACTTTATTTGTTGTAATTGCAACTTTAAGTCTCACATTGTCATTTTATAGCTCACATTTGCGACTTTGTGTTTTACAAAGCAACTGTATATTTTCCAATTGCAACTTTTATATCTTCTTGAATCTTTATTTCACAATTCCATCTTTATTTGTAGTAATAAATGAGACTTTATGTCTCGCTTTATTTTTTACAATTGCGGTATTGTGTTTTGCAATGTAACAGTATATTTCACAGTTGCGACTTTATTTGTAGTAATTGCGACTTTATATCTTGTAATGTCAATTTATATTTCACTTGGATTCTTTAGAATACAGCTAAAATTTTCATTTCAATGAAGAGGTACTTTTTTTTAATTATATTTAAATGGCAAAATTTCTACATATACTTTACATTTTTAGTGTACAGCATCAGATTGATAACTACAGATGTTTCTAAAGAATACATATTTTCTCAAAAGGCATCTAGTGTTGTAAAATCAGAAGGGCCAACATAAAAGATAAAAAACTAACACATAAAGAGATTTAAAAATCACATCCAAATGGGTTTTGTAGATCTGTCCATTCAATACGCAGCATGTTTTGGGGACTCTAGTGTGGCGTGCTGTAGGTTGAGAATTTCTATGTGGATTTTCCTGATTCCTTTGATGTTATATTCCACTGATCTCTCAGAACAGCTTCAGACTAGTGATGGTGGGAATATTCTGATTACCCAGACACGCTCAGAGCATCCCAAGTGGGATTAAACTGGAAAAAACCGACATATGTACTACTACACTCATTTTGTGAACATCTTAGTTGTGAGTGTGCAAACGAATCATTTTCAAATGAGATTTACTATCTCAGCAACAGGAATACTAACAACGGGAATAAATGCACAGCAAATAGAGACTTTTAAGCTCTCCTTCTTCTGAGAAAAAGACCAAGACCTCAGTGATCTCACATCTTATTTAGAGTTTTCAAAGTGATCTCAGTGTCTCAAACTGTGCTCAGATTTGCCAAGACACCAAAGTCTGCAAGTATGCTTTCAAACATTCTCCTAAAACCAAATTATCAGATCTGTACTATCCACATTCATTGTATGTTTCCATACTATGGAAGTTCATTTCTGCCACAGAATAAAAAGAAAATAAATAAATAAAATAAAAGAGGTAATTGTGACTTTTTAATCTCATAATTCAGACTTTTTTTTCTCCCAGTTCTGTGAAAAGAAATTCAGAATTATGAGATATAAACTCGCAATTTTTCTTTGAATGTTGACTTTACATCTTACAATTCAGTTTTTTTTTTCCACCATGGAATTACATGGAATTGTATATTTCACAATTGTCACTTTATATGTCACAAATGTGACATGTAACTGTATATTCAATTTGATTAGATAAACTTTATTAATCCCTGGAGGGAAATTAAATTGTCATAGCAGCTCAGTACATTCAAAATACACTCAAGTGCAAAACAAACAAACAAAAATTTTGACTTTGTCGGTAGTAATAGCAACTTTATAACTCATAATGTCATTTTATATATCACAATTGCAACATTGAGTTTTGCAATGTAACTGCATATTTCACAATTGCAACTTTAAATTTAGTAAATGTATATCTCGTAATGTTACTTATAGCTCATAGTGTCACTTTATAGCTCACAATTGCGACATGCATTTTGTATGTATCTATTTTGCCATATTTTAATTGCAATTTTTGCAATTTACGACTTTGTCTCACAACTTCACTTTATATCCCATAAATGCAACTGTTTTGCAGTGTAACTTTATATTTTGCAATTGCAGCTAGTTTATTTCTAGTAATTGTGATATTGTGTTTCACAATGTTACTTTATTTCTTACGATTATCTAAGTAAAAATGTAAAAAAAATGTAAATGCGACTTTTTATCTCGCAATTTGGACTTTTTCTAACAGTTCTGAGAAAAAAAGTCAGAACTACGAGATATAAACTCAGTATTGTGATACACTCGCAATTCTGACTTTCTCTGAATTCTGACTTTAAATATTAAAAAAAAATTTGTGTCGCCATGGATTTAAAAATTTAAAAAAAAGGTCATTGCATCTTTTCATTTTAAAATTCAGAATTTTTACCTTGCAATTCTGAGTATATATCTCGCAATTCTGACTTTTAAAAAAAATTATTATAATTTTTTTTTTTTTATCCCATGGTGGAAACAAGCTTTTATACTATACTCTTACTCTGTCTCAACAATTGTCTTATTTATTTAAGGAGGTTTCAGTGAAACACAGTTTATAGTTACAGTAAATAAAAGTAAAATATTCCATTAAGCCCTCTAAGTTATAAAGAGTGACCTCTGAGCAATACAGTTTTCCTTCTGTGTGTTTCTCTTTAGCTGACGTGTGATAAGGGATGAAATGAGCAAATGTGTGTGTTTGTGTGTGTGTGTGTGTGGATGCACACATGTATGTCAATACCTGTGACAGTAGTGGAGCAGGTGTGGTTATGAATGAGGGCCAGTTCTTCAAACATCATCCCCGGCTCAATGATGTGCAGCCTCTGGCTAGCCCTGGATGCCTCCAGTTTTCCCTCTGTTAACACACACACACACACACACACACACACACACACACGCGTCATCTACAGCTCTCAAGGTTGGCAGGAGTGACAGGTGTTGAGCGGCAGCGTGACTGTCACATAGACAGATGATCTGACCCATCACAGATTAGGCACGGAGATGCTCAGAGCCCAAACAATCCGGCACATCAGCACAAATACTGGCCTCCTTTAACAAATCACGGCTGGAATTAGCACAGCTCACGGACAAGTATTGATGAACACTTTAATGGATGGTAATAGATCAAACTCCTGCTCCTCTCTATCCTTTTATTTCACTTGCAACCTGGGTGTTTAGACATGCACTGACATTTTAAAACTCATTTCGCCCCACATAACCAGCAGGAATGTTTTCTTTCTGTCTTTCCAGAAGCAGGTCAGTCTCACACTTCTCCTGCTACCTGCCTGGTCCTGCAAACACTATGGGAGGTGCATACTAATTAATGTGCTTCAGTCAGAGACAGGGACAGACTGAACGAGTGTCTAAAGTACACTTGTAATGTTAGTCAAGGTTTCTGGCACCAACAACATTTTTATGACTATTTTGCACCTTCTCTTTAAAGGATTAAACAGAATGTGTGTGTGTGTGTGTGTGTATGTTTTGTTTGTTTGTTTTTGTTTTTTGGCTACTGTATCTTTAAGAATTCTGTGTGAAGTGACCTGCTTGTTCTTGATTTCAGCTGGACTAAAGCACTGGCACAATTTTTGTAAAGTCAGACTAACATATATGGATAATGAAAATGTAACTTTGCTTCCTTCAGCATGTATAAAAACAAACTAAAATGTACATGCATATATAGATACTTATGGAAGCTGGTTTCGGTCACAGGATAAAAAAATAAAAAAATAGAAAAGGTCATTGTGATTTTTTTTTATCTCACAATTCAGACTGTCTCGCAATTCTTAAAGTCATAAAGACATAATTAACTTGCAATTCTGAGAAGGAAAGATGGAATTGTGAGATAAAAAGTCACAACTACTTTTTTATTTCGTGGATAAAGAAAAAAAAGAAAAACATAATTGGGAGATATATATTTAGAATTCAAAAGAAAAAAAGTCTGAATTGCAAAGAAAAAGAAAGAAGTGTCCTTTGCTCACCGAGGCTGCATTTATTTGATCAAAAATATTAATATTTTTTATAAAAATATATAATCTTATTCCTATAATAGCAAAGCAGAATTTTGCTGCTGATTTGCTGCTCAAGAAACATTTCTTATTTTTATTGATGTTGAAAACGTATTCGGTTACTTACGTAACCTCGGTTCCTTGAGATACGGGAATGAGTACTGCGTCTTGCTAAAAGACGCTATGGGAAAAAGTCTTTTTTCTCCTGAACTAAAGCTTTTTTTCAATCACGCAGTGTAACTGCACGGCCATTGGTTCGTGCAGCGTATTAAAAACGAACCAATGGCTCGGCAGTGGGGCCATCTTGCTATATAAGCGGGCGCTTCGACCACAGGATCCTCAGGTTACTTCGACTGAAGCGACGACTGAGTCGTGCAGCTACATAGCATGGCTAGCAATGCAGTACTCGTTCCCGTATCTCATGGAACCAAGGTTACTTTAGTAACCGAGTACGTTCCCTATCGATACTTCACTCGTACTTCGTATTGCTAAAAGACGCTATGGGAACCCAGTACAATCACGCTGTGCTATGGTAGAGGAATGACTGCATAATATAACCTCCTTAAGCATCTAATGCCCTTAGGAAAGTATAACAATATTCTCCAAGGCTAAAACGGGCTAAACTCACAGAGGTCATGCCCGGCCTGGGTAATCGTTCCAGAGGACTCGTACAACTTCGGCACTCCATTGGCCAAGAGCATACAAGTAAACCGACCTGAAGAGCTTGAGCATGTTACGGTCAAGGACTCTCTGTCAGAACTGTTTTGCATAATGCAAGTGTGTGCCCACTTAAGCAGAAAGGACCCTGGCCTGCAAGGCCGGAACGTCCAGGTTATAAAACATAGCAAATGTGGATGGCAAGGCCCAGCCGGCCGCCGCACAGATCTCTGTAATGGACACAGCACTAGACCATGCCCAAGACGAGGCGATGCCTCTGGTGGAATGGGCTCGTGCTCCGATGGGGCATTGCAGGCCCGAGGATGAGTATGCTAGCATAATGGCGTCTACTATCTACCTAGAAAGCCTCTGCTTCGTTACTGGATGCCCTTTGGTGCGGTTACCGAAGCCAACAAAGAGTTGTTCCAAGCATCTAAACGGGGCGGAACGCTCAATGTAAATCCTCAGAGCTCTGACAGGGCAGAGCAAGGATAACTCCCGGTCCTCTTCAGAGGGAGGAAGCGCAGAGAGCGCGATGACCTGCGCTCTGAATGGAGTGGAGAGCACCTTGGGTGTATAACCATGCCTTGGTTTCAGGACGACCTTGGAGTTGTTGTGCCCGAATTCCAGGCAGGCAGGGATAACGGAAAGCGCCTGCAGGTCTCCTATTCGCTTTACCGATGCTAGTGCTAGAAGCAGAGCAGTCTTTAGCGACAGTGACCGAAGGTTAATAGACTTTAGTGGCTCAAAAGGGGATCCCATGCAGGGACAGTGAGGGGGCGAGGCGGATTCAGCCTCCTGGCCCCCTCTCAAGAAGCGGACAACTAAGTTGTTCCTGCCCACCGATTGGCCCGCTATAGGGGCATGGGAGACCGCTATAGCTGCTACGTAAACTTTGAATGTGGATGGGGAGTGTCCCTTATCCAGCAGCTCTTGCAAGAAGGACAAAACCACTGATAAGTCAGAGGTAGACGGGTCTTCACCACGGTTTAGGCACCAAGTGGAGAAAACAGACCACTTAAGGGCGTAGAGGCGTCTTGTAGATGGGGCTCTAGCCTCCAAAATCATGTTTAACATGCGCTCTAGGAGGCTTGTAGGCTCCCGTCGAGCGGCCAAAGGTGCAGAGCGCACAGCTTGGACCGGGGGGCCATATTGTCCTGTTCACTTGAGAGAGGAGATCTCGTCTCAGAGGAATGGGCCAGGGGTCTGCGACAAGCAGCCGAGTTAGCTCTGACAACCAAAGTTAGTTCTTCCAGAGGGGGGCCACCAAGAGAACCTTGTGCCCCTGTTCCCTGATTTGCCTGATTACCTGCAGGATCAGGGCGATCGGGGGGAATGCGTAAAGGAGGAGGTTGGGCCAGTCGTGGGCCAACGCATCCCTGACCTTCGAATAATAAATTGGGCAGTGAGAGTTGTCTTCTGAGAGGTCTACCTCGGCCTCGGCCTCGCCAAAGATCTCCCAAATTCTCTGAACCATCCACTCTTCTGATGGGACATTGCTCCCTGATAACATGTCAGCTCCTTGGTTCAATTTGCCCGGTATATGCACCGCCCTCAGCGAGCGCAGGTTGAGTTGAGCCCATTCCAGAAGGCGCTCTACCAGAGTGAAGAGGCGCTTCGAGGAGAGGCCTCCTTGGCGATTTATGTAGGACACCACAGACATGTTGTCCGAGTGGATTAGCACATGGTGTCCCCTTAGGTCTGGCAGGAAGAACTGACAGGCCCAGCACACTGCTAGCATTTCCAAGCAGTTGATGTGAAGCCCTTCTTCCGCTTTCGACCAATGGATGAAGGTCGGTTTGCCCTCACACAGCACCCCCCAACCCATGTTGGAGGCATCTGTCGTGACAACCTTTCTCCTGCAAATCATTCCCATGGCCACGCCCTGTTCCATCCAGCGAGAGTTCTTCCAAGGGGCCAGGGCTGTTACACAGGTCTGGTCCACCCTGATACGCAGGCGTACGTGACGTCACGCATGGGATGGAACCCGCGGTTTCAGCCAGCGCTGAAGGGGCCGCATACAAAGCAGGCCCAGCTGTAGTGCTGGTGACGCTGTGGCCATGAGGCCCAGCATCCTCTGAAACATTTTGAGAGGGCAAGTGGCACCGATCTCAAAGGAGGCTGCTAGTTTCTGCATGGTCAGAGCACGTTATGGCGCGACTACCGCTCTCATCTGAGCTGAGTCGAAAACTGTTCCCAGGAACAATAGTCGCTGGCTGGGGGACAGCGTGCTTTTGGCGAAATTGACCCTGAGTCCCAGGCACTATAAGTGGCTGAGGAGGAGGGTCCTGTGTGATATTAATTCTGCCTCCGACTGGGCCAAAACGAGCCAGTCGTCGAGGTAGTTGAGAATACGGATTCCCATTTGCCTTAGACGGGAAACAGCCGCATCCATGCACTTCGTAAAAGTGCAAGGAGCCAGAGACAGTCCGAAGGAAAGGACCGTGCACTGATACGCCACTCTCTCGAAGGCAAATCTCAAGTATCTGGATCTGGATGTGAAAGTATGCGTCTTTCAGGTCCAGAGAAAAGAACCAGTCCCCTGTGCGAATCTGCTTCAGCGTAGTCATCCTGAACAACCTTTTCATGAGGGCGCGATTCAGGTGTCTGAGATTGAGGATGGGCCGGAGACCGCCATCCTTTTTGGGGACGAGGAAGTAACGAATGTAGAAGCCTGACTCGCTCTGAGCTGGAGGAACCATTTCTACAGCTCCCTTTGCCAGCAGATTCTTCACCTCTGAGCGCAGAACATGAGCGTCCTTGCTTTGCACCGAGGTGGAGACCACGCCGCTGAAGTGCGGGGGTCTTCGAGCGAATTGGAGTGAATAACCTCATTGTATTATCCCCATAACCCATTCTGACACTCTAGGGATGGCCTGCCAGGCCTCGGCCAACCTGGCAAGGGGTTGGATCAGTTTGAGTGACTGGCTGCACGGGGGCAGGGCACTCGTGAGAAACGGAAGAGGAAATTTGCTCTCTTTTTGAAAATGTTTGTTTTATTTTTCCCGCTATAACAGCGGGTGGTTGCTTGGGCGCTTGAATGGGCCCAGAATTTGCAACAGACACATTTACCTCTGCACCCGGGGTTGAACGGGGTGATAGGAGGCTTAAGAGAGGCTGCTTGGGGGGTGGTCCAGCCGTAGCGAGACTTGGCCCCCTCCTCTTCCTGTCCTGCAGATCAGGAAGACGCCTGAGGCACCGGGTCCAATGCTATCTTGGGTCGGGGTCCCTGGCGCTTAGGAAAGGGGTAGCGTCTGGCTGAGCGGGAACACCCTTGTGTCTGCTGAGTCTTAGCAGGCTGAGCGGTGGGGTCGGCAGGTGCAGGCTTCATGGGCTGCTGAGTCTGCGTAGGCCGACTAGGAGCAGCTGCAGAGCTGGAGCGCTTTGGCAGGAAGTGTCACATGACCTGGGACGACTTCTGTGCCTCCGTAAAGCTCTCAGCGAACCCTCAACCGCCGGTCCGAAGAGGCCGGTGGGGGAGATCGGGGCGTCAAGGAAGGGGACCTTGTCCGCATCCTTGATCTCCGTCAAAGTAAGCCACAAGTGGCGCTCGAGCACCACAAGGCTGGCCATGGACTACCCGATTGCAGAGGAAAAGGCGACGGATCAGTCGAGCAGAGAGGTGGCTGGGTCCTACTGCGAGGCATGTCAACGGCGAGCAGGCTTCTGGGATCAGCAGAGAGTGTAGTCGTCGTCGCTGAAGGAGAAGAAATCTGAGGATCCTGTGGCGAAGCGCCTGCTTATATAGCCAAGGCTTCAGTTCAGGAGAAAAAAGGCTTTTTCCCATAGCGTCTTTTAGCAAGACTCCGTACGGCTGAAGTATAGATAGGGAACTGTTGTGCTGCTTCATATTTTGTGGAAACCATGAGATAAATTTTTTCAGGATTCTTTGATGAAAGTTCAAAACAACAGCATTTATTTAAAATAGATTAAAAAAAATAGTTGTCAGTTTTGATCATTGCTGGATAAAAGTATTCATTTCTTTCAATAAATAAATACATAAAAATCTTACTGACCCCAAGCTTTTGAACTCCCTCGAAAAATAAATAAATAAATAAACCATACTAATAAATAAATAAATAAATAAGAGTGTCTGGATCTGGAGTTTATTTAAATTTTACTCTGATTTTGTATTTTATCACAAATTGTTTTGTCACATATAACAGCTTTTGCAGAGAAACTATTATTAATCGACAGGGAAGCACAAAGTATACTTGAGTTAAAACCAGACCCACAAACCTGTAAATGCTGTTATTCATTTCAAATGCAAAGAGGATGTTTACATAAAATTCTTAAAAGCACAGTAGAAAAATTATTATATGAATTATATTATATTATATTATATTATATTATATTATATTATCAAGGGGATATAACTACACTAATAGTCAAATGCGGCCATGATGATTGTGATTTATATGTAAACTGAATGTAAAGAGCTGAAGGGTAACTAGAAGCCGAAAGCAAAAGACAAACAGTACCAAAACATAAGCACATCTCACTGCAAACCAGAGAGAGTATTAAAGAGCCACAAAAATCAATTATTCACAATATGCCTGGAGGCTTAACTGGACCTCGGCTAATAATGAGTGACTTTTGAGCACTGGGTTATAAAATACCCATGTAAGCACTGGGATCTGTGAATGTTCAGACATGCTCACAGATCAACATGCAGTATGAGAAGTATTATGAGGCGAGAGTATCTCTTTCATTCTCACACTCTTCCTCACCTTCAACTATATATGCCTGGGTCCCATTATCCCCTTCCTGGACAACACTCACACCCTGTTTGAGCGTCATGGGATAGGCAGAATCCACCAAACACCGCATCTGATCCCTGTCTAGATATTTCATACACTCATTTTCTGCCAGAGCCGATTCTATCAGCCGCTGTGACCTGAAAGAAATAAAGATAGATAAAGACTTACACTGGGGAAATGTAGCAGTATAGGCAATAAGGGGATGAGTTGAGATTGTAGGCAGGTTCTTACTCTTGACTCTTGCTGTGGCTGATTGGTGGGTTTTGTAAGACTAGTTTCGGCTCCAAGGTAACTGGTTCTGTTAGCAGAGCTTTTCTCCTCACTCTCAGGGAAGAAACACGTTGTTGACCTAAATGCAAATGAAATGAGTGTAAAGATGAATAATACAATGTTTTTATAAGATTAAAAAAGACTGGGTTGTTACCTCTGAACTGTGCGTAGATTGCTGATGCATAATGCATATAAAAATAAAGTCAGATTTGCTTTGTCATAGATTATTATGATTGCACTAATGTGTTTCTGAACATTTGGAATTGTATTTAATTTAAAACTCAATTAACATAAATTTCAAACAAGATTTGATTGCCATTACATCGATATGTTTCAAAAAAGTTGACGATAGTGTGGAGGGGCAACAGAAACAACAAAGTTGAGATGACAGAGTTAACAAAGTTCGACTATACGCAAATGCAAAGTGATGCAGCAACCACCGATGCAAAAAATGGCAACTGAGGCCCTGTTTACACTTGGAAATAAGAAGTTTCTGTCAATCTGATCACAAGTGGACGACAGTAAATACAGGTGTAAAATGTTTTGAGCTTGTCCACTTTTGACTCTCGGAGATAGTTGAAAATGCATTCAACCGGATTGCTTTCATTCTCAAATGCATTCAAACAACCACAAAAGGTTGCCTACTGACCTGATACGTAATCACTGTGTGATGTGTTGTGAGAAACCACACCAAAACAAGCTATTCATACTTTTCTACCTTGTATCAAAACACACACTAATTTGTTCGTAATCTGTGTAACATGGGTTCATTTAGTGAATATTACTCATAAAATGCACCATCCATCTTGGAAGAGTCATTTACACTGACAGTCATTTTCAGTGATCACTTATTTTCAGAGAGAGCTGACAATATCCAATGACAAGCAACAGAGACTTGGTGTTGATACAAAGTTGTACAGATATGACTACTATACAAACGAGCAGCAAATTGACAGTTTTTGGGATAGTTGCCTCAGAAATGAATATTCACCCTCATATTGTTTTTAAAACTGTATGCATTTCTTTATTTGGTGGAACATAAAATAACATATTTAGAAGAATGTTGGGAACCAAAAATAAAAAATTGGAGCCCATGAACTATAACTGTATGGAAAAACACACTGAAACATTTTTCAAAATATAATTCCACAGAAGAAAGTTATGGCCTTTTGTATGTCGTAAGAGAGAAGTGAGTCATATCACAGGAATGGCAGGTAAGTTTATAATATTTTGATTAAAGATTATGAGGTCAAAATGGAAATAGGAATATATATCCAAGGATGAATCGTTCACAGTGACATGCATTGAGAAAATAAATAAGATCAAATTTGATTTCATGCTGACGGACTTGTGCGCTTCAAGTGGAGTCGGAAATACTGTAATTAGGTTTCATTTTCTTTTAACTTGTCCTTGTTACAATATGATTATGCAATTAAGCATGCACATTTATGTACATATAGGGTTAGTGGCAAGCATAAAAAATTATACTAAATTTTTTTTTAATTTAAGTGGTTGCAATCAATTTATTTTTAGCTACATTTAAATAAACAAATTTAGCTGAAAGTTAATCAACTAAATTTGTTTATTTAAATGTAGCTAAAATAAATTGATTGCAACCACTTACCTTAAAAAATTTGTAAATTCAATGAATCATTTTTTTTAGTAGCCTACATGTAACATGTAACAAGGGCACTCAATTTAGATGACACACAAGTTGCTGATTTGCAAAATGGAGGAAAAACGAATCTATAATATAGATAATATAATGTAAGCTATATAGGCCTATCAATGAGCGGAAAGCAAGTCTGTAATAAATGTTGTTAATCACTCAACTTTCACAGCTTGACATTTAGTTGTGAGAGGCTACTGTGTATGAATAATAAGTGATAGAAAGGAATTTACATCCTTTTAATTCAGACGTAGTTATTTTTGTTCACAATATAATTCTTTTGCTTTGTTTATGCTTCTTCCATGTTAGCCTAGTGGAATTTCGCCGGGGGGGAAAGTCCATTGTGTGTATGATAGAAATGTTTGAAGCACAGCTCACACAGAAATTACTTTCAAACCAAACAACTTTCTGTTCGCCTTTGCAGAGTATTTGCCTGAACTCCCGATCAAAATAACTGGATATGATAACTATTTCTTGAGTAGCAACACCTATACGTGCGCGACCAGTTATTGAATCTCAAAAAAAAATAAAAGAGTAAATGCACCTTTAAAATCACATTATAAACGGGGGAAAATATATATTTTACTACTCAAAAATTGTATTTCTGACAAATAAAATAAAGCGCTTTCCGTACCAGCTGCTGAGGCGCCAGGAGCGGAGAGCCGCAGACGGTCGAGCTCCCCCTGCAGGCGGCGGATCAGATCGTCTTTAGCGTCCAGCTCCAGCTCCAGCTCGTCGATAAGAGCATCTCTCTGCCGTAACTCCTCAATCTTCAGCTGAAGTGCGAACTGAAGATCTCTGAGAGTCCCCATCAGCCCTGCACAAGGGGACACAGAGAGGGACTGATGGACCTTTACACAATAGTAAAGTGTGCGCCCGCGTTTAACGAAGTGAGATAACCAAACAAATTCAATGGAAAGATATTAACGGCAGACAAAACTGAAGTTGCTCTGCACTTATTTAGAGAGTCTCCGAAGCTCATTGACTGTAATATTAACAGTGCAACCAGCGCTGCATTATAATCCAAATAGATTAAGCCACAACAAAACCAATTTCGTTAATTTGTTTAAATATCGCATTGCAAATAAGGAACATCTGAGAAGACATTTACCTGAATAATATGGGCAAGGAACATGTGGAATACAAACAGACCGAAAGCGATTTCCCCTCTGGAATGATGGAGCTGGTCAGCTTTAGGAATAACGTACTGAAGAAAACCAGAGTGTGAATGTTTGAATCATGTCTCCACCGCACGCGCGCTGAGAGAGAGAGAGAGAGAGAGCGAGAGAGAGAGAGAGAGAGAGAGAGAGAGGATGTGGGCGGGGCTAGATTACATTCACAGATAATTAAACACAACTATGACCATATTGTTCTATGAGTTGCAATGCAACAAAATACACCGTTTTCATTGCATTCAAGCTCGGTTGCACTAAAGATGATTTATCAATGACTATGCCGACGACATGTAGCATTATAGCATAATTTATAAAAAACTAGGACATTTTATAATTAATTACATTTTCAGAAATGAGCTTTTGGCTCGATTACTTGATCTTACAAAACACAACCTTTTAATAATGACTTAAGTTGTTGTTGGTTTGTGTTGTTTGTGTTTTATAGGCATAACGTTAGCTATGTTAATAACCCAGTAAAAGATTATCGATTGATTGATTGATTGTTTGATTGAAAGAGGTTGTTTAAATATACAGTTGGATAGTTTCAACTAAAAATGCGAACCATATGCGAACCGTTCATTCGCATATGGTGTTTTGGGGTCTTAAAACGATACGTTATCATCTAAACTACGAAAACGTGAATTTGTGAAAATGGTGACCGCATGTAAATGCGTATTAGGAATTTAATTAAAGTTGATTTCAATTTTGTAATGCAAACTATAATTTCTTGTATTTTGTTTTCTTGGGTTTTTGGGGTGTTTTTTTGTGACATTCAGCATAAAGCGTGTATGTAATTGAAAGTCTGCAGATTATAAATATTTGGGTTTGTCACAAGCTTTTAACACTCCACGTTCTCACCTAAAAACTAGAGAAATACACTGCATCAGGACAAAACATGTATGTAAAAACATAACTCTTCTAGACTAGTTTGTAAAATCACAGTAGAGGAGACAAATAATGCTATAGAGGAATGATTAGGTTTGATCAACCTAAAAAGTTTTTGCAACTTGCTCTTAATTGATTTGAGAGTTTGAGAGACACTGTGAGCATCATGTTCTTAACATATACAGCGTGTCATACACACGTTTACCAGCCCTGCTAAATTCCTGTGCCTACTGATTCCATTGTGCAAACAAACAACTGTACAGTCCATTTTCTCTAATGCAAAATGCAGCTGCTTGTAGATAAAAATACTGTAATTACAAACAGCTTAGCACAGCCAAATGCTCCCGAATCAGGTGACTCCTTTGTGCTTGAATTATTTTTGTGTTTAATGTTTGTATTTCTTCTATTTGTTTCCACAGAGGCATTAAAATCAGGAAAGTTGCTGAATAGTTGCTGATCTTTAGAATGAGAACAAAATAAGTGCCTTCTTCATTTAGTACAAGATGCATTATGTCAAGATTACTGTTAAAGGCTGCAGATTATTTGTTTCCTGACTGGGAGGAATCTCTGTTGTGTGTGTGATGGAGAGTTGAAAAACCCAAATTTGTGAAAACTGTGATGTCATGTGCATACATATTACATGTTCAGTCTATAGTATGGACTATACACAGTATAGAAATGTGCATCTATACAGGTGTGTAGTGTTTCTTTACAAAGTGACATCGCCAACTACTGGCCTGGCATGCATAATACAGCATTTTTTAGATGGTTTTGCGGATTATAGCACTTGCATTACTCTTTTGTTGATTTTGATTGCTTCCATTGTCCTCAGTTGCTTCGGATAAAAGCGTCTGCTAAATAACTAAATGTAAATGCAATGTAAATGTAAGGTTAGGTCTATGTTTTTGGACAGTAATGTTGATCCAGGATCAACAAAAGATGTTAATCCAGGAACATATCAGCTACTGTAAAAAAGAAAAGAAAAGGCATATTTAGCATAGTTTTTGTTACGACCTGTCATTTAACTATTAAAAGTCATTTCAAATTTAGATTCGGAGTCTGGATCTGGAGAATTATGGACAGTGAAGTGGTTCTGTTTCCATCAATTTTTTTACATTTAGATGAAGACTTCAAATATAGCCTACATGTGTTAAGCACAACACCCAACTTAAAAGCAGAGTTCATTGGTCAACTCATTTGCATTATATTGTTTCACCTGTTCACTTGTTCGAGTCAGCACGTCAAACAGTAATGCAGACGCTAATAAGGGTGTGCTACCAATGCTATAGTGTGCATTTACACAATGTATACGTTTTTCCTTTGCGATTTTTGGAAGGTTTCATGTACAGATGACAACGTTGTCAAAACAAACATAACTACTAAAAACACTGTATTATGCATGCCGGTATTTGGCAATGTCAATGTCATAGGTTTATATTTTATTAAAGCTCAAAACCAATATACAGTCAGTAACAGATAACAATGCCTATAGACTGAACATGTAATATGCAGTCACATGGTGTCACCGTTTTCATAAAATTTCACACTTTTATATGGAGATGTTCTTGTTAACGGTGTTTTCAAAAGCCTTTTCAATAGGACCCCAAAATGTTGTTGCCATGTAAATGAACGATCAAAATGCATAAAATGGTGTCATTTAAACGCCTCTTATAGGTTAAGTGTATAGGCCTACGTTACACGCCAAAGATGTACCACAAAACAGAAAAGTTTTTCCTTTGCATTTTTGAAAAGTTTCACATACAGATGACAACGTTGTCAAAACGGTTCACACGGATTAGCAAAAACGATTATTTAACCTTGTAGGCCTATAATGTATGCCAGGCCAGTAGTTGGCGATGTCACTTTGTAAAGGACCTCACACATGTCTATAGACTGAACATGTGCGCATGCACATGACATAATCATTTTCACAAATGTGTCATTGTACACAGAGATGAAACCGGAATTGTTTTCAAGAACTTATACACTTTGAAAGTTTGCGTTTTCAGGCCCCCAAAGCACTGTTGTTGGTGTTGCGTAAAGTTAGGGTTATTTGTTTCAGTTTTATGTAACTTAGGCAGGTAGCACTGTGATTGAGATGACCAATGAAATCTTTAGAGTCGGCTGCAGGCGTGGTTTGCGCTTCAGGAAAAAAAACAGTGCGTTCCAAACGGGATATATCGCCCTCTGAAGGGCACTCCGGAGTGAAAACAATCATGGCCGACATATTGAAGGGTCATTCCAAACCAAAGTGCTCAAAACTGGCCACTTCAAAGGGCCCTTCGGAATGAAGGATTTCGAAGGGTACAACTGATGGACACTTGGGGCTCCCATGATCCTTTGCATGATGACGGCGCCTCGTGATGATGACGCAGAAGGGCACTTCAAGAAACTGAATATAATCTATTGTCTACCTCATATGTAGAGAAAGGTTGTTAAAAACTCGGGATACATTTTATGAATTTGGGGACAAGGCCTGTAAATTGTTAGCTTTTCAGGTTCGTCAATCAAATAATTGGAAAACGATCACTCACCTCAGGACCTCATCAGGCTCTCTGTTATATTCTTTACAAGATATTAACAATAGCTTTGTCCAATTTTTTACTGCTTTATATACCTCAGAATATCCTAATGATTCAGTAATTCTAGACTCCTTTTTTACAAAAGTGAATCTACCAACTATAAATGTCAATCTTAACTCTGCCCTTGGCAAACCCATAATACAAGTAGAAGTAACAGATGCCATTACAGCAATGCAGAGTAGTAAAGCTCCAGGGCCGGACGGCTTTCCTATAGAATTTTATAAGAAGTTCTCCACATTACTAGGCCCCCTTCTTGTAGCAGTATAACGAATCTTTTGTTAATGGAACCCTTCCTCCAACACTCACACAAGCTTCAGTCTCAAGGATAAAAAGGATCCTACTCTTTGTGAGTCTTATAGGCCAATTTCACTATTGAATGTTGATTTTAAAATTTTAGCCAAAGTCCTTGCAATGCGTATAGAGAACGGGATTAAGCTTCTGAAAGATTTATTCTGTAATAATACTTTTTTGCTCCTTTCAGGAACTTCAAAGTCGTTTTGCCTTGCCTAGAACTCTTTTTTTTTTTAGGTTTTTGCAAATCAGAAGTTTTATAAAGAAAGTTTTTAATTATTTTCCAGTGCTACCCCCTTCCTCACCCATTGCAATGTTACTTGATCTAAAACCAAACAGTAAGGGGCTTATTTCATCTATATACTCTATTATATCCACTATAGATCCACAAAATTTAGACAGTATTCGAGTGGTCTGGCAGAGTGAATTGGGCATAGAATTTACAGAAAGGGAGTGGGCTGATATCCCTGACCAGGTGCACTCTTCATCTCCTTGTGCCAGGCATGGACTTGACCAATTCAAGATACTTCATAGACTTCATTTTACTAACTCAAAGTTAGCTAAGATTTTATCCTAGATTTATTATACAGTTGATGAAAATAATTCAGAACAACAGAATCACATCTGCTTCCTCTTGATCCCAGTGAATGAACTGAATGAAATACAGTTTTCCTCAAGCGTTCTCCATCAGAGTCATGAGAAACTCTACCTCACTGATCTGCTCAGAGGTTTTCTGTTCAATGCTCTGCTCTTCTCTAAGATCAGGAATCAAATGCATGACATGAGTGTTTTGTGATTTACACAAGCTTCAGTCTGGATCCAACCCTTACGAAGATCTGAGATAACCGAACAGCTGAGAAGAGATGATGCCAACCCCTCAGAGGAGCTCAGATGATGCCAACCCTGAAACAACATACAGAACTACCACATTGTGCTATAAGTTTGATTGCATCATATAATAATTGCTGTTAATAGTGTTCATCGTCTGTTTGATTACGTCTTTAATTGATTTTTCCGTACATTTCTGCCATATGTACATTAACTGACAGTCACCACTGATAAGCTACCTCTAAATATTGTTAGTGCTACCACCCCCTCCCCACCCCTTATTTATTTTTATTAGTGATGTTGTAAACAGTCCTGTGAAAGTGTATGTATATAAGCAATAATTGTTTTTTTTCTGTCTCTATGACTATGATTATTAATATTGTATGCTCCTTTGTTTCTCCT